CACACACACACACACACACACACACACACACACACACACACACGAGCACGTGACCTTCAGCCTATGTGTATAAGGTATATATGAAATATGAAACATAAATGAATTTGTTGTTCAGACTTGGGTTCCATCCCCATGGTTATCACATTATTTATAATCAAATATTTCAAAATCTGAAAAACTCTGAAATCCCAAACACTTCTGGTCCCAAGCATTTCAGATGAGGAAGACTCGATCTATATTACCTTTGTTACAATGAATACACCTGTAAAGTTAAAAAAGGCACTGCCACGGGCCACCCTGCACCAAATGTCACTAGAGACTGCTGTTTGCTCTTGTTCTGCAGAAGGAAAGGGGCAGGACAGAGGCAGCTGTCACACTTGGTTTCAGATGTAACTTACAACCCATTCCCTTGCCCTACTGGCCTTTGCCTTTAGCTGCTGGAATCCTGGCACCCTGATGACAACCAGCTCCTTTGGGGCTGGAAGATTACCTGGGTCATCACCTCTGAGGACACTAGAATAGATACATTGTGGTTGACTGGGGACAAAGACAGCCTCAAACTGCACAGGACCAGGGTCTCATATTTACTCATCTGAAATGGGTTCCAGTCCCAGATTCATATTGCCTTGTTCTGTAACCTTGGCCTTGTTTTTCACCTCTCTTGATAGTAATCTGCTCTCTTTTTCCTTCTTCCTTCTTTATTATGGTCTAACAGGCTCTTCTTCTGATATAGCCTCTCTACATGAGTGCTTGCCATCAAATTCAGGCCCTCTTCAGTTCTGAGTAAATTGAAGCCCTCTCACAACACAGAACAAAAAGCCAGGCTCAGTTTTCCAGCTTGGCAATGGCCCTGACCTGGTAATTAGGAGATAGGCAAGTCTTTCACTGAGCCTCTTTTCCCTCCAGTAAAATGGAGCTTATAGTCCTGGCCCGAGTAGCCTCACAGGGCCACCATGAAAATCAAGTAAATGAATGCACTGGACACACTGTGGATTCTCACGCATCAGAACATAAAACTGGGTGAATCGTAGGACTTAAGACTTGTCAATAGAACGGTAATAGGCAGCTCACCTTCCAGAGGATGACAGTGACTCAAGGAATCTAATCCAACCTGCCCCATTATCCCACAGCAGGTCCACAGCCATGCTGAGGGAACCGGAAGCTGAGGCCACTGTTTGCACAGGCTGCAACAGCATCATCATTTCCAGCTTTCTTCCCCAGTTTGTTCTAACCTAAGAGGGGCTTTGAACCTTCTAGAAAAAACATATTGCCAGAAATAGATCAAACTTATCCAAACACCCAGTCCAAGACATACCAATTGGGCATCAATGCATTCTCCTTGCCCCTAAACATGATTCCAATGTTGGTAGCATGCTGCCGAGAGGAATAGAAGTCTGTGTAGTCTCCTGCAGAACAAAGACCCAAGACAGTCCATCAGAGACCCAGACAGTGGAGGTCAAGCCAGCCTCAAGGACGGGGCTGTCAGCATGCACACAAGTTTGCACATCCCAAAGCTCAAACTCTTCTGGCAGCCACAGCACCAAATGCAACATAAAATAGCCTTGCTCAGTATTTGTTTTTAGGCTAGACATGGTGCCTCACATCTGTAATTCCAGCTGTTTGGAAGATGTGGACCTGGAGGATCGAAGTTTGAGGCTGACCTGAACAAAAATCTTAAGAGTCTGTGAAAAATAATGTAAAGTAAAAAGGTTGGGGGCATTGCTCAAGTGGAACCATGCCTGTCCAGCAAGTGCAAGGACCCAAGTTTGATTCCCAGGAGCCCCCCACCAGAAAAAGATTAATTTTTAGAACCCTCCCCCAAACTGAGAAACACATAAGAAATAATGAATCAAAACTTTCTGAAACAAACAATGGACTGGGAACATGAAGCAGCTGAGCTCCACTTCCCTTCCCGTGCCTCCTACTTCTACCACTTGTGTCACACACACACACTGCTTGTCACCCCACACAGGGACACCCCTCACCATGCCTATGCTTAAGTTGCACCTGCTGCCTGGACCAACTTCTCCCACGTCTCTGCGTATTATGCCCCTCTCTTTCATAAAGCCCTCCCCACTCTCTCTAGCAGGCTCTTTCCCTCCTCTGAATCCCCTCACCTGATCCCTTCTTGGGGCACTTCCAGCTGGTGCTCCAATTAGTGTGCACAACTTTGCAAGACTCCAGCCCTTGAAGGCAGCCCAGTCCAGCTCTCCTTTTGTTTGGCTCTCCCTTAGGACCCAAGAACAAGTCTAGTATATCACAGGTGCTCAGTCTGTGTCTGTTGATCATGATGAGCTGAGCAGGGTGGTTTGTTAAGCCACAGGAACCCTCTCTCATTCAGGGATTGAATTACTAAAATCTCCAGGAAAATATGCTTGGAATATTTTATCTTCCTAAATCTCTCATCAAAAAAAAAAATAGTGACTACCCCAATCAGCAGCCTAGACTAGAAGTGGACATAGAGAAAGAAGAGGAGAGAAAGCACTGAGCAAGGTGTGGATAGCCTGAGTCATAGCTGCTGCCTCCTGTTTTCAGTCCCAAAGCCCAGGTTAGCAACAGAGATATTTATCATAAGAATAAACACATGCCCAAAAAAAGAGAAAAAAAAAAACAAGAAATGGCACAATCAATCAGTCAGAAATAATAGAGAATCCCTGAAAGACTGGTTTGCCAAAAATAGAGCATGGCCCTCAAGTGCTGCAGGGAAGCAAGGGCTGAGCCCATCCTCAAGCCCGCCCTCCACCCAGCTTTTGCCAAGGACTTGTCCTGACTGAAGGGAATCCTGTCCTCACCAAAGTAGGGCTAGTTGGCCTCTCAGACCAGAAGCACCCAGGCAAACCAACAGTGGCAGCCTTCCTCTGGGATTGATGGACAAGGATGGAGCCCTGCACCCCTAGTCACAAGTTGATCTGGCTTTTCTGGACTTTAAACCTTAGTCTGAAGACAGTTTTGCTAACTCCAACTTCCTGACTCTAAGTCTAGCCAGATACCCTATAGCAAGTCTGGAAATGGGCCTGCAGGGTCCTCTGACCTTCTCCCTCAAAACTGACATCTCAGAGCACTTTTCCCCAGCAGCCTTCTGGGAAGGGTGTGGTGGTGATCTGCTACACAGGCAGCCATATAACTAGTTACAAACTTGAATAGGCTGCAACTCTCCTAGAAGAACAATATTGAGCTAGCCAAAGTCAGTGCCAGCCTGGGTGCTAAGACCAGTCAGTGTTGGGGAGCAGCTAACAGCCCCAGAGCCCTGATTCTGCTTCTTCCTCCACCAATAATTGAGTACCAAGGCACCTGCCACTAAACTGTCCATGTTGTATTAACGAGCAGATAGCACTCACCTATGGTGGCTGGCAGGTGCATCGTGGCAGAAGCCTGGGAGGTGAACGCGCTGAAACAGAGCCAGAAGTTTCAAACTCAAGTACATGGTAAACCAAGACCTCTGCTCTAGTCACCCAGACCAGACCATAATCCTGCTTACCACCTCTGCCAGGCTGGACTGGAGTCAAAACTCGGCTGAACCAGCCCATACCATAGAAGAGTCACTACAGCTGAAATGCCTCTTGTTTCTATGTTCCACTCCAGAAAAAGGGGCTGGGGAGTGGGAACTCCTACTGGAAACCAGAGGAGGGCACAGATGATGCCACTGAGGAACAGTAGAGTAAGACAGTGGGCCAGTGGACCTTGCCTGGCAGCTCCAATCTAGGTGCTAGGGAAACCCAGAGCCCATCCAGCAACACACAGCCCAATGGGGACTGAATGGAGCCAGGTCTCACTCAACCAGGCCCGCAGCCAAAGCATGACTTGGAATAGAACTGCCTGCCACCCAACCCTTGTCTCCCTGCCATGTCCCATCAATGTCCACATGCTTCTCACCGCTTCCGAAGCTCCATGTCATCTCTGAGCCTGGCTTGATTGGCAGACAGCAAGTTCTGCAAAACTGCTCTCGCCTCTTTCCAGGCAGCCTGACCCAGGCCCATGAAGCTGTTGAGAGTTGGCTAGGACCAAAGCAGGGAGAGAGAAGGTCACATGTGGGAAAGCCCCGGGGTCCCCCTCCTGCCCAGGGAGGACTGGCTACCTCTCTTCACTCAAATGCTTGGGACCTTTGTTCTTGCTTTTGTCATCTTAAAATCAAGATGAAGAGTCATCACTTTTCTTGATGTTATTTCACCCCTCCTGGACATGTAGCACACAATGATTAAAATCTAGGATCTGCTATTCTGGACAGCAACCCATTAAGCCCATCCTGGCCTGCAGGTACAGATGGCTTTATTCCTCCAGGGGAGGCCCTCTCCAGTCTGCAGGCTTGTGGTGACCTAAACTGATACCATTCCCAGGAATTAAGAAGGGGTCTCTTAGCTGAGTGTGGTAGTACATAGTACACACTTGTAATCCTAGTTACTCTGGAAGTGGAGCAGGATGATCCTGGTCAGAGGCCAGCCCAGGCAAAGCTGGCAAGACCCTACCTAAAAAACAAAATAGAAACAAAAGAGCTAGCAGCCGGGGTGGGGGGGAGCTCTAGAGGTAAAGTGCTTGCCTAACAGGTGTAAGGCCCTGTGTTCTAGCCCCAGTATTGCCAAAAAAAAAAAAAAGAAAAGAAAGGATCTCTTAGCCAGTGAGGTGCACAGCAGAGATAGCATCTGTGGGTACCAAAGGCCACAGTTTCAGCTGCAGCTCTAAATCTTCTAGTAGTGCATCCTGGGAGAACTGCATCTCCTTCCAGATGTTCAGGTACCCATTCATCTAGTGAAGATTCTGCTTCCTACGTCAGAGAGTGGCTGGGAGGACTGATTAGGAGGATTTGTGTAATTATCTTAGCCACATAAGAGTGCTCAATAAACACCACTCTCCTTCCTGCCCATGTGTCAGAAAGAAGAACATCAAAGTAGCTGACCACTGACAAGGACTGAAATTCATGCCCATCCCACAGGGACAAGTACACCAGGCTGTTGCCCCCGAGATGTACTGCAGACCGGGAGGGAGGGCTTATGGCTTCCTCAGAGACCTGGACAGGCTTTGGACAGGCAGAAATGCAAACAGCTCAAGGTAAAAATGAACCAGAGTAAGGAAAGAGCCTCATCTCAGAAACAACTGGGAAAGACCCAGGACTGCAGACCCTCTTTTTGCTTAGTAACCCACCTCCAGGTGAGAAGCCACCTGAGATGTCCCAAGGTCAGCTCCTGCCAGCAGATCTCTCTCAGAACAGCACCAGCCTTATCCATGTACAATCTGGGGCCTGTGAAGGCACTACCTCTATCAAAAGTGGAAGCCAAAGAAAGTGTTCCTGGTGGCATTTGCAGTAATTGTTGCTGAGATCAGGGATAAGCCACGTCATAATGCCCTACCTCATCAAAGACATCCTGGTGTTTGAAGAGGACAGGCCCAGTGAAGAGGTGCTTGATGACACTGAGGTCCAGGATCTGATCACCGATGGCCACACCGATCCTTGGCTTTGCCTGGGAGGAAGACAGCATGGTCAGCATGGAGAGAAAAGCCTCTGGCAGGCTGAGCTCATTCAGTGGAAAGCCCATCTACTGAGGAGTCAGTCAGTTCCTGCTAGGGTGCCTGTATGGAGAGGTGATCGAGGAACTACATCCTCAGCATCATACTCCCAGCTCCCTTCTCTGCTTCCAGAACAGTAAGGAAAAAGAGCGTGTGTTCCCTCAATGGGAAATAAATCAAATAGCCCCTGGAGTGTGGGAAGAGTAGGCAGACTGGTCAAAGCCTCACGTCCAGGCAGTTTCCCAAGCATTGCTTGGGTGCCTCCAGCGATAAACAGCTTGCTACTTTACCAGGTCTGACCTAAGCCTTCGCTGAGGACCATGTATTCGTGCAGTAGAACAGTGAGTGCTCCATGCTAGGTGGCAGAAGATAACAAGCCCTGTTGTGACTCAAATGGAAGAAAGCTCAGATTATGGGAGTTGCCAAAGCCAGACTGCTCAGACCAGGTGGGGGAAATTCTTTTAGCACCATAAAATCCCAGCATCAGCTCTGACTAATAGGATGTTTCAAGTATTTGGCCAAGCCTGGTCTTTGACCCCACAGTCCTGAGCTTTGCTGGTCAACAGCAAACCAGAGAGCAAACTTGCTAACTCTACCTCCTGGGGCTTGGTCCTGAGCCAGGCTTCTAGATCTCTGAACCACCAGCATTGCCATTCCAGTTCCATAGAACTGAGAGGTGGAATTACTGGCTTTACCTCCATTTTGGTTGGCTGAGGGAAGATAGCCATCTCTTCCTGCATGCCAGCCTCTGGGATCAGGGGTAGAACAGAACACACTCTCCCCAGGCCTAAGGCCACAGGCAGAAATGCCCTAGAGGAGGCTGCCTGGAGACCATGACAACTCATTGCCAGTTCTGCCAATTCCCTGGGCCTCTCCCTCTGGAAATGGTGACTGCTCTGAAGGGCAGAGCTAAGCCATCTGGATCCAGTGGCCATTCACTCAGGCAGTCCTGCGGCAGACCTGGGGCATTCTGACCTTGACTGAAGGCAAGAAGGAGCCATGGCCATTGAGCAACCTGACATCTAATCACAAGCCTGCTTAGTCAGATGTAAATAATGCTTAGAAGCTTCGGGCGGTAAGTCACTGCCCTTGTGCTCCAAACTGTGACCTGAGGACCTGAGAAAACACTGGAGAAAGTAAATCCCTGCACGTTCAACCTTGAGGATGGTAGATTAGTAGAATCCATGATTCCTGGGTTCTGGTCTGCTCCATCCCTCACCATCCTATTATCTAGACAAGTCCCTAGTCCTCTGAGCCTCAGTTTCCCCTAGAACTTCAGACAGACAAACTAGAGAGAGAAAACTCCTTTATCTAACTTTAAGAGAATGAATGTGTATTGTCTCTATTCTATAACATTTGGTCATGTCTGACACAAAGTTGTACAAAAGGAAGCTTCACCTAACTCCAGCCACAGAAGGCAGAGTGTAGAGTCAGGAGGCTAACAGATGGGGGGTCCAAATCCATCTTTTACTGGCTATGAGATCTGAAGCACAATTCTTAGCCTCCCTAAGCCTCAGTTTTCTCATCTGTAAAATAGGAACAATAACAATAGTATGTTTCTTGTGAGGATTCAAATAATATCTGCAAATCTCTTAATACAAGAACAGAAATAGGTAGACACTATTCATGCCACAGACATCTGTGGAGCATCTCCTTGGCACCAGCACTCACAAACACTGCTAAGCTACCGGGGGAGAGGAGTGGTTTGATTCCCGCTCTCCAGAAGCAAAACACCATGTAAGGCGTTATAGGAAATAATAACCATGTCAGGTGCAGCGGGGAGCTCATTCAGCCTGCTGTACAGAGCTGTCACTTAAGCTGACTCCTGAAGAGTGAGAACACACTGGATGCAGAAGAGTTTTCCAGGCAGAAGAAATGACGCATGCTAAGACCCTGAGGCAGGAAACTACTCTTAGTGAGTCTCAGATGCTGAAAGGCAGCCAGTAGGATCTGGAGAGAGCAGAGGCCCCGAGGAGGCAAAGGCAGGGCAGACAGGGACAGGCAAATCAGCCTCCACACCACTGATTCCGTTTCTCAGAGGTCACTGTCGCTGTCTTCATAGACAGCATTATTGCGTGTTCCGTTAGACAGGAAAGGGATGCAGTCTCCTTCTTTGATCCACAACTCAACTTGAACCTGAACCTTCCAGAAAGCAAAGAGGTCAACTCTCCACCCCAGCACCCTTCTCAGAGGACAGTGGGAGGGGTTCTTTCCCAGAAATCCCTAGTGGCTGCTTAGACATTCCAGGGCACATGCTAAGTCACCTTAACTCCAGATTTCCCTACAGATATGCACTAATTCTAACAAATGTTCCTGTCTAATCGATTGCTGCTCCCAGGAGAGGTGAGGACACATCTGCTGAGAGCAAAGTATCAAAGGGGGTCAGAGGGAGGGTCCTGCCATCAGAGTGTGATTGGCTAACACAGTTAAAGCTTAACATGTGTAGTTTGTGGCGGGGTCTGAGTGCTAACTATCCTTGCAACATCTGGTCAGGTCTGGCAGTTGTGAAACCACAGTTGACTCTTCTAGATCAAGGCATTCACCACAGCAAGGACCACAAAAGGCCAGTTATTTGGGGACCAAAGAGCCCCAATTAGCAAACATTTCCTTTTTCCTTTTTTTTTTTTTTGTGGTGCTAAACCTTGCACACCATAGACAAGCAGCACTGTACCACTTTACTGCATCCGCAATCCTGCAAACATTTTCTGAATACTGTTACATGCACAGGATCCTGTGGTTCTGTGGCTTACAGGGTTCAATCAGGATTTTACCTGTAAGGGTGGGAGCAGAAAGCAAGCAAAAGAATACCACAAACAAATCCAAGCGAATTTGTTTTTCCCACCCAGGGACCCTCTTATATAGCCTCTGATAACACTTTCCACCCCATTTTACAGATTTCTTTCTAATAAACTACGTCAAGCCAAGTTTGTTTCTCTGCCCCAAAAGCTTTCTAACCAACAAGGGAATGCCAGGCAGCCACAACTGAAGCTGAAAGAATTCCAACTAGGGGCAAAGAAACTTGACATCTTAGACCACACAGGTCCAGGCCAGGAAATGCACGAGTCCTCGGGAGCCGCTGGTATTTCCTAAATTGTAGGGTTAGGGGCTAATGAGTGAGATGAATGACCAGCATAACCTTCCCTATGGGGAAGAAACGCGCTCCCACTCCTCGGTGACAATACGCGTACTTTCTCTGATGGTGTGCGAGGAGCTCTGCATGTAATGCTCACGCAACCCCACGCAAACAAAAGTTGCCCAGTGGGTCTCGAACCACAGGCTCTCTCCACCGAGGCCCTTCAAGAGAAAACCCGCCCAAGTTGCAAACTGCCCGCCTCCATTCCACTCCACTCCACACCCGCCCCGCGCCAAAGCCGAAGCGCAGCAGCTCACGTTGCTTGGGGTGGAGAAGACGCCGAAGGGCAGGTTGTGGATGGGGAAGTCAGAGTCCTCGGCCACTGAGATGAACGACATGCTAGCTAGTAGCACCAGCGGGGTAAATGGCGAACGACCAGGGTGGCGAGCTTGACTGGACTTCTGCGCCCCAGGGCCCGCCTTGACCTCTGAGCCCGCCTGGCCCCCGAGTCCACCCCGACCCCGAGTCCGCCCCGCCCCCCGAGTCCGCCCCGCCCCCGAGTCCACCCCGACCCCGAGCCCGCCCCGACCCCGAGCCCGTCACGCCCCTGAGCCCGTCTTGCCCCGCCCCGCCCCCCAGTCCGCCCCGCCCCTGAGCCCGCCCCGACCCCGAGCCCGCCACGCCCCTGAGCCCGTCTTGCCCCGCCCCGCCCCGAGTCCGCCCCGCCCCTGAGCCCGCCCCGACCCCGAGCCCGCCACGCCCCTGAGCCCGTCTTGCCCCGCCCCGCCCCCGAGTCCGCCGAGCCCTCTGAGCCCGCCGAGCCCCGCCCTCCAAGTCAGCCCTGTCCTGAGCTCACCTCGCCCGCCCCGGCGCAGGTCCACTCGCCTCTCGAGCCCGCCTCGGGCCCCGCCCCCTGGAAGATTCTGCCCACCTATTGTTCCCCGAGAACACCTCCAGGGCCCCGCCCCTCCCTGCCTTATTTCCATAATCTCTCTCTCCCGGACCCGGTTTCTTCCGCAAGCAGCCCCGCCCTTCACAGAGCCCCGCCCCCTCCACGCTCTGCCTGTCAGGACCATCGTTTCAAGCAGGCGTTTAAGGCTCCGCCCGGTTACGCCAAGCCCCTTTCCCCATCCCAGCAGCGGCCCTGCTCTTCTGCTCTCGTCTGCCCCATGACCAGCAGACGCTGGCTCCCGCTTAGAATACTTCCAATCGTGTGCGTTCCCTCGGCACAAACCATGCCAATCCCTCTGCTGTGACACTTCCAGTGGTGTACTGGTGAAAGGGACCATCATGTCTATTTGGAAAGCCTACATTAAAGAGAATTAACATTTTGAAAATATAACATTTATTTCACAATCCAGTGTTAAAACTACGTCAGTTTCTCTCTGCCTCAGCTTTCTTCTGTACAATATTGAAATAAGAAATTAACGTTTGTAGCCAGGTGCCAATGACTCACTATGTAATCCCAGCTACTCAGGAGGCAGAGATCAGGAGGATCGCGATTGGAGGCCAACCGGAGCAAACAGTTCTGGAGACCCTATCTCGAAAAATCCCATCACACACACACACACAAAAAAAAAGGGGGGCTGGTAGAGTGGCTCAAAGGGTAAGAGCACCTGCCTAGCAAGTGTGAGGCCCTGAGTTCAAGCTCCAGTGCTGCCAAAAAAGAAACAAACAAATTAATGTGTGTGTTTGTTGAGGGTTAGAATAGTGCAATAGTACCTGGTACACATACATATGTGTGTGTTGTGTATAAAGAGAAAAAGAAAAAAGAAGGAGGGAAGAAAAAAAGCTAGTGATCAATTAATAGTTTTTGTTGTTCTTGTTTTTTAACAGGACATCCAGACAAAAAGTTAGCCATTGCTTTTTTTCCAGGTTTTGCCTTTCTTCATGAAGAAGACAATCAGAAAAGAAAGCACAGACTGGGAGCATGGCTCAAGTGGTAGAGCACTTGCTAGACCCTGATTTCAATCTCCAGTAAAGAAAAAAAAAGAAGAAGAAGAAGAAGAAAGAGAGAGTGAAGGAAGGAAAGGAAAGGAAGGAAGGAAGGAAGGAAGGAAGGAAGGAGAAAAAAGAAAGCACAACTATAAAGTGGTCATCACTGACTGAAAATCAGTTTAAAATATAAATGTAAATTTCTTAGAAATCTAACAAAATTTTTCTTTAAAAACAAGTTTCAAATGATAGCTGTAGGATACACAGTAAATATCACTACATAAACCAATATTTGAAATACTTACTTTCAATTAATTTCTTTGAGTGGTTTCATGACATTAGAGTCAAAAGTTAACGAATTAACAGACACACTAGCAGAATGACTGAAGGAAAAAATTAAAAGAAATTAAACCAAAATCCTAGAAATTAACTTTAAAGGTTGTAGAACCATCCTGTGATTTAAAAAACATAATAACCATTTCCCTTTATAAACATTTTTAAAAGAGAATAGTAATGATAACCAGACAGAAGACTTAAAATAGGTAAGACAGTGCTACCCTTTGCCTGCAATGTCCTATCCCATTTGCCTTCCCATCCATCACTGTCCTCCTTTCTAAACCACTTTCAATTATCCTCATCCTTCACAGCACACATTTGTCCACAGTTCCTCCCTGTTCTCTTTCTCTGTCATCACCTCCAGATAAGCAATGAAGTATGTACCAGAAACCTTGCATTGTGTATGAAGACTGTGATTTGTGTGTTAAAGAAGGGGGAGAAGGGGACAAGGAAGGAAGAAGCAGGAGAAAAGAAAGGGAGGGAGAAAAGGTTAGAGTACATCAGGCTGTCTTAGGGTGGTCAAGGTGTTGTCTAACCAATCAAGTGCTAGAAACTTTTGCCCGTATTCGAGGCAGGACACTTACGAGCATCCCTGAGAATGAGCGTGTTGGAGTGAATGTTTGGGGCACAGTTTCACATAGCCTGGATGCTGGCAGATGTTAGCCAAGTTCTAAGTGGAAGGTGGTCTAGGCAAGAGCTCCCCATAGTACCTGGGGGAGTGACACAGACACTACCTGTTAGGAAGGTTGCTCTGGACCTTAGCTTTGAGGGAGGAAAGGCTGGAAGCTGGTGGAATGATATGAGCCCGAAACAAGAAGTTGAGCAAAGGGAATACTACAGGTAGGGATGGCTGTGATGCCCCTGCCTAGACCCGGAGATGACTCTGGTGCCTGTCCACCACATCTTGACCAGGGACCCCTCCCCCCAGGAAGGGGCTTAACCTGGAGACAAAGCCTTGGCTCTTACCTCCTTCTCGGAGTGGCTCTGCCAAAGGCTGTTGTCAGTTTAAGTCAGCCCTGGAGGGAGGGAACGAAGGGCGGTCCATGGCAGGGGTAGGAGTCTGCCTGGCTCTGGTAGGCTCCAGAAAGGGGAAACAGAAGAAGGGAGTGTTCCAGCTCTGTTCAGTGGCCTTAGAAAGAAGTCTTCCAGGCAGCACTCATACCTACCACGCTCTAGCTGCTCTTGAACCACGAGGCCGGGAAATTTACATGTCCTGTACTGGCCTCAGGTCCTCCCAGTAAAGGTAAGAGGAATGCTGGCTGGCTTGCTTGCTTTTTTTTTTTTTTTCAGCTGTACTGGGGTTTGAGTTTGCACTTGCTAGGCAGGGGCTGTATCACTTGAATCATGCTATCTATCTTTCTTATTTTTTCATGTTCCTGTTTTTATTTATCATTTTATTTTATTGAGACAGGGCCTTACTGTGTTATGTTGCCTGAGCTAGTCTCAAATTGCTGGGCTCAAGTGACCCTACTGCCTCAACCTCCAAGTATTTGGGATTACAGGTGTCCACCCCTGTGACCTCCTTGAAATATTTAATTAATTAACATAAAATGGTTGACAAAAAGGAAATGAATCAATAGCCTATGTCCCCCTGCCCCCCACACTGTGTGCCAGGCTCTGGGACACTGTGGCACGTGGCCACTCAGCATCTTTGATTCCTTTTTCAGAATTAGACCAGGATTTCCACTGGATACACACACGTCAGTGAAGGCCTAGATGATAAAAACAAAAACAACAACAAAAAACCCAAAAAAAAAAAAAAACATGGAAAGGAGAAGAAAAGCCATGTGGGGATGAGATGAAGGGGGAGTAAGATTTTGTAGTTTTAAAATAAGACTTGCCATCCTACTAATTATATGTACTGTTTGACAATGCTAATTCTATTCTCTATTTGGAAAACAGCATTTGAATAACTTGCAAGTGTACTATATTTTCTTTTCTCTCTCCTTTTGTGGGAAGGGGTGTGTTGGCTTTGTATACTCAACAATTTTTTAAGCATTTTAAGGAAATAATACTGTCCATAATCCCACCAAACTGTTTTCACACACACCATGCTTTTTAAAATTCTGTTTTGTGCACATAATTTTTTCAACTTTGTAAACTTAATGTAGATGCAATTTTTCAGTCTTTTTTATTTTTTGGCAGTACTGAGGTTTGAACTCGGGGATTTATGCTTGCTAGGTAGGAATTTTTCAGTCATTTCCTATGTTATTCTGAACATTTTCCCCTGTGTCTAAATAGACTACATTATTATCATTTACATTGAGGAAGTTACAGTTTTAGATGGTAAGAATGATGGTATGATAAAAATCTGCATGCGTAGGATATCAAAGAAAAGAGTCTTGGGTCAAAAGATATGGATGTTTTTGGTATTGGAATTGCTAAGGACTAGTTTAAGCCTCTGCATATTGGATGCTTCCTTCTGATGTTATTAACACCCATTACACCACACAGCGGGCCTCCTTTGCACAAGAGTGTTAGTTGGTCCAAGACTGCTGATGGGTGGGTAAGAGCTGCTGATGGGTGGGTAAGAGCTTCTTGGATCCAGGACACTGATGTCTTACAAGGGCTCCAAAAAGCTGGCAATTGCCATTGGGATAAGCAGTGTATGGACATGGCCTGCACTGAAAGACAGGCTGCCTTTTGTGCAACACTCAGGAGTCTATGTGTGTCCCTTCTCTCCACACTATGCCATTCACCTACCTTTAAGTAACTTAAGCCCAGTTCCAAGGTCCTCTAAATTTTTAGCTCCTTTGAGAGAACAGAATGTCACGCATGTTTATGTATCATATATATCCCTCTGATGCTAAAATGGATGGTAGGTCTGGGTGTGTAGCTCAATGGTAGAACACTTGCACAAGGCCCTGTGTTAAATCCGCAGCAACACACACACACACAGACACACAAAGTATGGCATATGTAGCAAACACATGATGTCCAGTCCAAGTTTATGAACTTTACTGAGCTCAGACCCTAAGGAGAGAAGATATTCATATTGATAGAGTAATAATGTCACCATTTTGTGAATCGGCCCCTTAACAGAAATTACTGTGCTCTAAGACAGCCCCACCCCTACCAGAGACCACCATGCATGCGCTAACTTCCTTAACCCCCCCCCCTTCTATAAAACACATGCCTGGCCAGGAGTCTGCACTGCGCCATATTTTCCCGGCCAGCCTGGCAGTTGA